TAATGTTGGCGAGTAGAACCGTCGGCAGAGCACTCTTCTGACGGAACACTCGCGCATTCCTCTCGTTCCAAATGATCCAGGCGACTAGCATGGTGAGCGAGGCCATCGCCTTCCTGTTGGGAATAGATGTGTCGGAGAGGCCCACCCACCACTCTTCGATGTTGCCTGAGAGGTGCCACGAGGAAGTATCAATGCTCACTAGTTGCAACCAGTCCTTGACTAATCCTCATAGGCGGATAGAGAAGCGGCATTTGTAGAAAAGGTGGTCAACAGACTCTTGCTCCTACTTGCAAAGTGTACAAAGGCCACAGTTTGGTCATCCGCGCTTCTCCAATCTGTCTGCCGTCCAAATTCTGTTTTGAATGGCCAGCCAAGCGAAGAACTTGACTTTGGGGGGAGCCCAAGCCCTCCACACAGTGTGCTCCATAGGGGGTTTGATTGTGCCAAGGAATTGCGCTTTGTATGTCGACTTGGCCGTGTATTGCCCGCTAGCAGTGTGCTTCCATACAATATCATCTTCGGCATCCTCCTCGAGATGGAAGCCACGAAGCGTTGTCCAAAGGGTGACAAACTGACGTAAGTGATTCAGCGAAAAAGAGTCCGGGATGCATATTCTCGAGACCCACGCACCGTTGCTGAGAGCTTCGCGCACCTTCCAATTTTTCCTCGTGGACGCCTCGTAAATTAGAGGTGCAATGTCCCTAGGCTTGCGGTCATTCACCCATGGCGCATCCCAAAAAAGCATCCTTGCTCCATTTCCAACAAAGATTGACGTGGAGGCATAGAACAAGGAGTAGTCCATCGTGTTGCACGGGTTTCCCATACCCACCCAAAGCTTGGTGGGCTCTTTCCATTCAAACCATAACCAACACAAGCGAAGAGCCCGAGCAAATTTCTCCGTGTTAAGTATGCCAAGGCCACCAAGATCCTTTGGCCGGCACACCGCATCCCAATTCACCTTGCATTTTGCACCAGTGGTCTTGTCTGTGCCCTCCCAGAGAAAGGCTCTTTCGAGCTTGTTTATGTTGTGTAGAGTGGACGTTGGCACAATGAGCGGCGTGATGGAGAAGACGAGCTCCGAAGACAGCACCGACTTCACAAGGGCGCATCGACCAATGGCAGTGATATTTTGACCATCCCAAGTGGTCAACTTAGCGACCGCTTTGTCCTCTAGGTACTGGTAGTCGACCTTTCTAAGCTTCCACACCGAGAGAGGAAGCCCCAAGTATTTCATTGGAAAAGAAGCCCGTGACGCAGGAAGGGCCTGAAGGATGCATGTCAAGTTGAGTTGTCCGCACCGAATGGGAACCACTGAGCTCTTATGGAAGTTTGTGACAAGGCCGGTGACATTGCCGAATAGATGCAGAATGGTGGCTAGGTTGTGAATGTCTTTCTTGATTGGGGCCATAAAGACTGTTGCGTCATCTGCGTATAGGGAAGTCCTAACAGCCACGCCACGCCCACAGATCTTGTGAAAGAGCCCTTTTCTCGCTGCTAGCTCAAGAATCTTGTGCAGCGGGTCCATGGCAATGACAAATAGGAAGGGGAGACCGGGTCCCCTTGTCTGAAGCCGCGGCCGTGAGGGATGGGCTTGCTTGGCACACAATTCAAAAGGATGCGCGAGGACGAGGAGCACAATAGGGCAGCGATCCAATTGCGAAACATGGGCGGGAACCCAAGCCTCTGAAGAAGGTCCAAGATATACTCCCATTTGACAGAGTCAAAAGCCTTCCGAATATCGAGCTTGAACAGGAGGGACGGAGTTTTCCGCAAGTGGAGGCGTCGCGCAAGATTGCGAACATACATGAAATTGTCATGGATACTTCTCGTCTTTATGAAGGCACTCTGGGCATTTGAGATGAGCTTATGCATATGGGGGGGCAGGCGGATTGCCAATATTTTCGCAATAATCTTTGCAATGGCGTGAATAAGACTAATAGGGCGATAGTCAGAAATATCCTCGGCCCCCTCTTTTTTCGGGAGGAGCACAACATTTGCAGTGTTGAGCCAATGAAGGCCAGTTGTGCGCAGATTGGGAAAGGAGGAGACCACCCTCATGACATCCACCTTGATGGTACTCCAACATTTTTTAAAGAAGAGACCGGTAAAACCATCCGGCCCGGGAGCCTTGTCCCCAGGCATTTGGTTAATAGCGTCCCGCACCTCATCCTCGGTTATGGGGTCCCCGAGGCAAGCCAAATTGTGCGTCTGCAAATCGAGCTCCTCCCAATTAAAGTCTATGGATCTCGCCTCCCCCTTTTCCATGACGCTAGAAAAGTGTGCATGGACGAGTTGCTCCTTTTGCTCATGATCTGTGACCCAGTTGTGATTGTGTTTGAGCCGATGAATGTGATTCTTTCTCCTCCTGGCATTGACCCGCCGATGAATTTTTTTTTGTATTTGCGTCCCCTTCTCTGAGGTGACATAGCGTAGCACATTGCTTTTTGCGAGCACGCTCAAGCACCGCAAACCCAATGATTCTCCTTTTGAGCCTGGACCGAAGGTCCGCCTCCATGGTAGAGAGCTGCCTGGACTCCTGTGCGATGTCCAGACGCAGGATGATGAGAAGAGCCGCATGGTGGAGTAACTTTGCCCTAGAGAACAACCCCTTACTCCAGGCAGAGAGGCAATCTCCAGTTATTTTCAATTTGTGGTGCAACACATGGAAGGGCTCAGTGTGCACAGTCTGTTCATTCCAAGCCTCTGAAACAACATCCTGCAATCCTGGAAGGGTGGCCCAAAATTTTTCAAATTTGAAGGCACGAGGCCTCCGTGGTCCTTTGTCATCAGCAAGCAAAAGCGGGCAGTGGTCAGAGAGCGACGAGGAAAGCGCATGGAGAATATGCGTGCCGAACTGGGTGTCCCACTCCGTGTTGCAAAAGAAAGAGTCCAGCTTGCATAATGTCGGATTTGATCGCTCATTTGACCAAGTGAAGCGTCTGTTTTGAAGGTGGATCTCTTTAAGATGACAGCTCTCTAATGTTGTCCGAAATCTGGTGATTCGTCTTCTGTTGACATTTCGCTTATTTTTATCGCCTCGAGCGGTAGATTTGGTTGAAATCACCAAGAGCTAGCCAGAGTTCCCCACACGGCGGCTTATGACTAATCAGCTCCGTGAAGAAATCCTCCTTGTGGGAGGAGGATGTTGGCCCGTACACAACGGTGATTTGGTAGCTGACATCGGAGTGCTTGAAGTGTATTGTCGCTGAAAGGCAGAAGGTGGTGATCACCACATCAGTTACAGCAACATGGTCATCATCCCAGAGCATGAGGATCCCACCCCGGGTACCAATAGATGGTCGCTGAGCAAAACTGCGAAGCCTATGCCCACCAAGGAAACTTGCCGTGAACATATTAACATTTTCAAGCTTTGTTTTTTGTAGACATGCTATTTCTGAGAGACCTTCGAATTCTATCAGAGGAGAGATGCATCTTTTTTCTCAGAATTTTTACACTGTCTTGTTCTTGTACTGATTAATTTAGGAGGGAGTAATTTTGCCTTGTCATTCGTTGGATCTGGGTAGAGTATATAGATTAATAGACAGGCATACAGACCGTGTCGCGTGGCTAGCATTAATTCTCAGGCCAATGATAAGATGATGAAATTTCTTACTGCCTTCAAGGTCAACTGTGCTGCCATCGATGTGTAGTAGTAGTACAATCCTAGTATATATATACTACTGTATTATGCAAGTGGGTTATAAGAATGATAGAGCAAAGCCAGTCTAGGCTACACGCCTCTGTCCATGTCTACTTGTTTTATGCATTTTAGCTGTGATGAAACTTCAAATTTGGTTCCTGAAGAACTGGCATGAATCGCCAATTCTGAAATTGGACCGAGGCTTACTCAGCTTAGTTCATGAGTCACTATGATTTTATTTTTTCGCGCCTAGTAGGATAGTTATTCATTACTACAAAGCTTAAGAAGACCGAGTCGTGTACAACAATTATCATTTCTCAAAACTATAGCAAACCAATTCATAGCTAGCCTCAGTATACATGACGGTTCAGATCCATTTGCCATTATTTAAGGAAGAACTCTGCAAAGGAAAGTGCCACCGGCACAGCCGTTAGCGTGCCATTCCGTCTATGCCTCTAATATGCTGAGTTCTCTGATTTCTACACTCGGCAAACTTTTCTTTGCCAAGTACCTGATGGAAAAAAACTCGGCAAACTTGCCTTTGCCTAGAGGAATCCAGCCCCGACGAAAAGAACTTGGCAAACACTTCGCCCGAGATGATTTTGCGCATTGCCGAGTGGCACTCTGCAAACATGCTGATTCCAGTAGTGTTAGCTTGAGGTTTACCCTTGGAGATGCGCCCTTCTTTCTCAGACCCGTGCTGTGAGCCGGTGAGAAACCCAGAATCTGTGCGGAAACTTCCTACTGCCTTCAAAGTCAAATGTGCCGTGCAGTGCTGTCACTATTATGCGTGTTGTCACAATGGGTGCAGTGGCTACGCAAGAGACGTCCATTCTGAAATTGGACCAAGACTTATTAGCCCACCGTTGCTGTACTGAAAGCATCCCTCAACCACACCCCCGTCCTCCCACTTGCCCCACCATTCATTCTCTACTTTGCTACTCCCTCCGTTCCTAAATACTTGTCTTTTTAGGCATTTCAACAAGTGACTACATACGGAGCAAAATAAGTGAATCTACACTCTAAAATATGTCTACATACATCCGTATGTAGTAGTCATTTGAAATGTCTAGAAAAACAAATATTTAGGAACGGAGGGAGTAGTAGATCTTCGTTCGGAGGTGGACGCGTGCTCGCCAGAGTTCTTTGTGCGGGAGGCGGAGAAAAATAGGCTCGCCCTCAGCGAGAACACGCTCCCATCCTTAGGTTTGTTTAGCCTTCTTATAAAGAAAACCAGTGGGAAACAAAGTATTGGTTCAAGCATCTCTTCCAGCTGGTACTTATTTGTTCGTCTTGGTTCTGACCAGGTTACCGGGTGCACTACCAGGACTCATGTACATATAGATCTCCCAAGCTTACAATGGCGGATCCAGTTACCATTGGTGCTGCTGTAGGATGGGGCGTATCCGCAGTAGGCTGGCTCGCCTCGCCCATCATTTCAAGGGTCCTCAACAAAGGTTTCGCCCTTCTCGACTTTGACGCAACGGAGAAGCTAAGGATACTCGATATACAAATTTTACAGCTGCATGCTGTGATGGAGGTAGTCGACGAAAGTACTTACAGGGTTCGCTTGGAGCCACTGTTAGACAAGCTTAAATCTGATCTCTATGAAGCCGAAGACATCTTGGATGCTGTTGAGTATCAGCGTCTCAAGAAGCAGATCCAAGATGGCAATAAGGTGGATTCGCCCAAGATGTCCTTCTCCTTCCCCAAAAAACAAAAGGTATTTCCGTCCACTCATACTTGTAGAACAGGTCTTTCTGCATTCGTCGAGATCTCGTTGTTCTTGTTATAACGTCCGGTGGCCAGGAAGAGATCATGGTGGTAATTCCGCCGCAGCTCATGCATCTCTTTAAATAGTATCCGAATCCTCGGTCACCTGGGAGCCAATTGAGGCCCAGTGAAGCTTGCTCCATGGAAAATACATACAATTTTTTTCTAAATATTTTAAGAAATACTTTTCTAAAATCATGTAATTTTTTGGACAAATACATGATCATTTTATAAACATCTTAATTTTGTAAAATTATACACATTATTAAAAAGGGCTTTTGAACATTAAAAAAAATTACATGAACATTTAAATAAATATATAATTAATTCATAAAAGTACAAGAACACTTTTACATATGCAAGAAAAGTTTGCTCATTTCAAGAAACTTTAGAATTATGGTAAAATTTATAAATACAATAATACCTTTTTACATGAACATTTAGAAAACAAATACGTGAACACTTTTTTCTGTACATGTTTTTTTAATACATAAGCACATTTTTTAATTACATGAACTTAAAAAACGTGTGTGTGTAAAAATAATATGTGAACTTTAAAAGAAATGTGTGAACAGTCCTTAAATTGCATGAACATTATTCAAAATTTATAAACAAATTTTAAATAGAATAACATACGCTAACGGAGGTGTGCCAAGTAGGTCCTAAAAGTTTGAAAACACACATATGGGTCCTATATGTGTAAGTCATTCGTTGCGGGTCCTATCCATGTTTGACCAGTCCGTGTGGTCCGTTGACTGACGCCACATTGGCAATATTTTGCCAAGACCCCCTTTTAGGCTTCTCCTTCTCACTTGTGGCCCCTCTTCTTGTCTCCACACTTGTGGCCACTATTCTTTTACTCTTTTTAAATTATATACATGAACTTTATTTAAACATATAAACCACTTTTGAACTAAATGATTATTTTTAACAATAGCAGTAACTTTTTAAGTACTTTTTTATCAAAATACTAAATATTTTTTTAAGAACACAATTCTTTATCTTTTAAAATTATGAAATATTTTCTTATAGTTATTATCAAACATATTATAAAATTTCTAGTTTTTCTTTAAATTCTAAAAAATAAAAGATAACATTATCTTTTTAATGGATTTCACTATTGCGGTCCATTAGCATCGGAATATTTTTATAAAATATAATTTATAGTTTTGTCAAAATTCCAAAACAAGAAACAATATTTTCTTTTTCTTTTTATTGGGTCTAACTATTGCGGCCACTTAGCACCAGATGTGAGCGGCCAAGCGCTACCGCTTGCTACAAGCGTGTTATAATGTCCCCCGGGAAAAAGAACTGGCTTTCTTGTTTTCGCCCAACTCCATTACTCCATTGTGCAGCGCCTCGGCCTTTGATGACCTAGATTATCTTCACCCAGTGCTCGATTTTTTCCAGATATTAGCAGGGCACAGAGAAAGAAAAACTCGTAACCTTATATATTTATTTATTTTCAAATGGAGTTCTTGATAGCCTCGACTTGCTTGTTATTTGATTTTGCAGAAAAGTGGTATGTCAAAATTGGAGTTGAAGGAGAGCTTAGAGAAGATAGAAAGTGCTATAAGCGATGCATGTAAAGTTTTGGAACAACTGAACTTGCTAGGTGTAAGTAATGATATCAAGCTATTGCTACCAATTCACGCAGTACAGTCATTACTGCAGGTCCTCCGACACGAGTAATTGGCCGGGATGAGGATCGTGACAAGATCATAGCAATGCTTAATGAGAACGAAGACCAATGCCAAACAAATACTGTCAATGGTAGTGGCGAAGCCTCAGCGGGACCATTTTGGGCCCTGGTCCGGGATTTTCAGAAAATTCTCAGAGCATTTGTCCTGTATTGGTGTAGTGGCCTTATTGCTTGGTTTTATAGCTCTGAACCAACTGAGCCAGGGTTTGCTACGGCCGATGCTCCATCGCTTAGTGTAACTTGCTATTCCGTAATTGGCATTCATGGTATTGCCGGGTCTGGGAAATCAACACTTGCACAATATGTTTATGAACATGAGAAAAAGTACAAGCAAGATAAAATGGAAGGCCATTTTGATATTGTTATGTGGATTCATGTTTCTCAGAAATTTGATTTGGACTCCATATTCAGAGAGATGTTTGAGGGGGCTACAGGGAAAGCATGCGAAAACTTCAATAGTCGTAACATCTTAAAGGAAAAACTGGAGGATGAACTGCGTGGAAAACAGATTTTGTTGGTACTGGATGATGTCTGGTACAACATTAAGAATTCGGGAGATCGTGAAGAGCTACAAAAGTTGATTTCTCCTCTGAATGTTGGAAAGGTGGGAAGCAAAATCTTGGTGACTAGTCGAACTGAAGCCGCATTAGTAACTCTGGGTGCTGTAAAAGAGCGATGCATTCCAATATCTGACTTGGATGATAAAGTGGTCCTTGAAATGTTCATGCATTATGCACTTAGAGATGCAAGGGTAAGTGAACATGATCGAAGAATACTTGAAATGATCGGAGAGGACATTGCCAAAAAGCTGAAGGGATCACCTCTAGCAGCCAGAGCAGTGGGATCACGGCTCCGTGAGACACAAACTGTTGAGTTCTGGAGGAGTCAGAAAGATCGGGACCTTCTGAATGACACAATGGGAGCCCTGTGGTGGAGCTACCAATATCTTGATGAGCAGGTCAGGCGATGCTTTGCTTACTGCAGTATTTTCCCTAGGCGACATCGTTTGAAACGTGATGAGTTAGTTAAGTTGTGGGTAGCAGAAGGGTTTATAAAGACTAGTAAGGCTGAAGAGGAAATGGAAGATGTTACTAAGAATTATTTTGATGAATTGCTGTCGGCCTCATTTCTGCAATTAGGAGGGAAAGATAAGTTATTTGAACATGAGGTCGATTACTTTACAATTCATGATCTGTTGTGTGATTTAGCAGAGGAGGTTGCCGGAAGAGATTGCTTCAGGATCGAGAAAGGCTGCACAGGAGAAGTTCCTAAAGATGTTCGGTATCTTTTTGTTGGGACTTATGATAGAGAGATGCTTACTAAGAAGATATCTGGACTGCAAAATTTACGCACTCTCATCATCGATGCTCACATAGAGGTTAAATCAAATGAGTGCCAAGTCTTTGCGAGTATGTTCACTACGTTCATGGGGCTGCGGAAATTGCGTGTATTGAATTTATGTCTCATTGAAACTGGTCGCTGCACGTTCTCATTCCCGGATTCTATTGGTCAGTTGAAGCATCTGCGTTATTTTCATTTTTGGGTGACTGCACTTACCAGGCTCACGGTACCGGCTGCTTTTATGAAGCTTTACCACATACAGGTGGTAGATTTTGGTGGTTGTCAAGATTTGGTGTTTTCTAGTAGTGAAGATATGATTAGCCTTGTCAACTTGCGCTGTGTAATCAGTGGGGCAGATCTGGATTTTCCGGAAGTAGGCAGGCTCATATGGCTCCAAATGTTACCGTTATTCACGATAAGGAAGGAACAGGGGTATGAGCCACATCAGCTGAAACACCTAAACAAGCTTCAACGCACGCTGTACATCCGCGGTCTTGAGAATGTTGAGAGCAAGGAGGAGGCTCTTCAAGTCAATCTTGCAGCCAAGGAAAAACTCACAGAACTTGTACTTCAATGGAAAAGGGAGAGCTGCAGTCCAGAAGTTCAAGCAGAGGTACTTGAGGGTCTTTGCCCATCGAAGTATCTTGAAATACTGGAAATCAGAAATTACCTTGCTTCGGGGTTACCGAATTGGATTGTGGGTATGCATAGCGGCTCCCCAAAGAACCTGCAAGAACTTATCTTCCGGAACTGTGGCCAGCGGGGACCTGCTGGTGACCTTGGAGCTTTCGTTTATCTTCTTTCGCTATGTCTTGTTGAATGCAGCTGGGATGCATTACCAGGTAATATGGATCATCTCACATCGCTCAAGAAATTGGAGATCACAGTTTGCATGAATATATGGTCGCTTCCAACACTGCCTATGTCTCTTGAGGAGTTTACACTCATGTACTGCAATCGCGAGTTCATGCGATCTTGTACGACGGCTGCTGATCCAAATTGGCAAAAGATTGAGCACATTCCAAAGAAAACAATTATAGGTTCTTGAGAAAGGTCCATACAGAAGGTACATGTTTAAATTCCTTTGCCATCTTCTTTTTTCCATTTTGTCTCCAGTAAATGTTATTGCAACCATTTTCCTTTAAGATTGCGGATATGTTTCTGACTCGTTCGTTAACTGACAGCCGCGTGAGATGGAGTTCAAACCGTTAGATTTCCTGCCAAATATTCAGATTTTTTATGGGTAGCGGCTTCCAGGTTCACCATGTCTCTTTACTGATTGTTGCGTGTTTGCAAGTGAAGTGGTTCTGTGCTCAAGTGAAGCCATGGATAATGCAAAATGCAAAATTGTACTATGTAATAACTACTACAGTACTACTAGTTCTTTGTCATTGGAACAAAAAGCATCAGGCAATTACCTTGTTCGTGCAGCAACCTTATGTGCTGTTTGGAAACATAGAAATGAACTCTGCTAATTTAATAGATGTTCATGGCTTGGTTCTGAGAGGCATCATAGTAGCATGCTTTCAGTGGGCAATTCTATGCTCTGACACTGCAAAAAGGCGCATTCTGGAGTCTTACCTCACTGATGTGACCAGATCAAAGCTGATGGGGCGTCGGTTGAAGCTTCCGTCGCTGTCAGGCCTGCCGGCCTCCAAGAATTCCACTGAATGGGAGGCCACCATTGCTGGGTCAGCAAAGTGTGTGCTTGAGTCCTCTTGCAGTCTGGTCGAGGACGGCATCTATTTCAGGACTGCGCCTAGAGCTTGATGTGCTGAGCTGATCCTATGCTTCGGTTGTGTGCTGATATGTTCAACACTGTTTGTAATACTTGCTCCCTCCATCGCAATATAAGTGACGTGGTTTTAGTTAATTTGAACTAAAACCACGTCACTTCATTTGGGACGGAGGGTGTGCGAGGGAACAAGGAATGATGAAGAATGAATTTGTTTGTTTCCTGTCGTTTGTAGCATTACCGAATGATGAGCGCCAATTTACTCGATTGCTAGGAATTAGCTACGACGGTATGGTACGAGGTGACCAAATTGGCTCATAACACTGAGGCTTTCATTCATCTTGAGTAGAAAGCCCAGGCTTTAGTGATTGCAATCAATGCATATTGTATTCAGCCTCAATGTAAGAGATCATAAACGAGATCAGAAAAAGATGTGACTTGTAAATATACATAAACAAGATCATAACTCTATAAGTCTGTAGGTTTCATTGTCACATTCTTAGGCACAGAGCAGTCACAGCCATGTTCCTAGTGAAAATATTTGGGCCATCAGAGTCCTTAAGTCTTTTTATTTACTGCCCCTGAGAAGCTGGCCGCAGCGCCTCGGCTGCTCTTCCTCACCCCTAGCCCCCAACTATGCAAAAAGTAACATACAAGTATTTTGGAAGCAGAATGGAAACAAGAACAACATAGACATATGACCACATCAAAGTGAAATTTTGTAGATCATCACGCACCTCTTGTCAGCAAAGGTGACCAAATATGTGACGTCTACACGCTATCGAAACCGCAATCATTTTAACTCTGAAAGCTGATCTGATGGCGACTCTGATAAATCTGGACAAACAGGACAGATAGATGTTTAGACACCATGGAAGAGTCTTTGGTCCACAATTTGTACACATATTCAAGATCTTAATTACAAGCTATTAAACAAATAAATTATAGGTAATATATTGATTTCAGTTGAATTTGAAATGTGTGGACTGCAAATACTCGCTTCAGTGTGCTTAATTAGCATTGCAATTTTTCACACAGGTTGGAATACATAGCCAGAGTGCCAGACAGAGGCACGTCAACATAAAGAAAATAGGTCGTGAAAAATTTTAGTCACGCAGAATCAGTACATTCGTGTTCCAGGAGTTCATATAATCTGGGCACCTAGCAGTATAGCAAACTTGAACTAAAAAAACTGAAAGAAACTGGGTGTGTCTGATAGCGAGAACCAAGACACTCATGGCTCATAGTTGGGTGCTGTATGCCATCCCAGTACAAAAATAAGTCGCAAAAAGGAAAGAACTACAAAACATGGTAATGCTAATACACGACCCTTGTACTTTTTTCTTTTACTTATGTTTCATTTCTTTTACTTTTGTTTCATGGCTATGGTTTCTTTTACTGTTGCGTGCTTGAGGCATCCATCTGATGAAGTTGCCTCAATCAGAGGATCTGCAGGTTGATCCCCTTGTTGATGGATGGATGGACCTCTCAGCTTAGCGCTGCCCTCATCCCAGTGGAGAAGAGCAATAACAAACAACCGAGCCCAACTACATGCTGCACTAGTGTTTTGCCCTTTGTCCGACTTTACTTACCAGGGTCCACTGTGATGTCAAAAATAAAAATGACTTGCAGATATAAATCAGTTAGCTTTAGGCACTGTTGTCTGTTGATTGAAACTGGTCATTTCACTATCAAATTCTTAGGCCAGGAACAGCCATATCAAATGTCACGATAACTGAAGCTAGAAGTAACATGAAAACAAGATCAACACATACATGATTACTGATGGGTGAAATTCATTGCCATGCGCCATCTTGTCGGAAAGGTAGGTGATCACATCTGCCGCAACACCATGCTATCAATCCGTGGTCGCTATTAACTCAGAAAGTTGATCTGATGACAACTCCACTAAATCAGGACAAACAAGACAGAAGCTCAGACAGCGCACAAGATTTTCCACCCAATTTGTGCATATTAATTCAATAGTGATATGAGCTTAAAGAAGCAAAATTTAGGTACTTAGGTAGGTAGTATCAAAAGAAGGGGCAGAATAGCATAATATTGATCTCAACTGAATTTGAAACATGTGACTACAATCACCCACTTGACTGTGCATAGCATCAATACAAGTTGGGATACACTGCCGGAAAGAGGCACATGAACATAAAGGAATTCAGTCCTGAAAATCTCATAGCTTGGTTTTGCAGGAGTTCATTTACTGCCTAGGCATATATCAGTACAACAAACCTCTAACCGAGGAAAAGATTGAAACTGAGGGTGCTGGCAGCGAGAAACAATACAATCACCTGAAAACTCTAAGTTTCAGTCAATCATCTCAACCAATATGATTTGTTGAAGATTCAGAGCACAACCATGATACTGGGGATCTAAGAGTGGCCAAGACATTGACTGCAATAAAGAACAATTTCAGTTGCTTGTGCTGATAAGCACTCCCTTTGATCTTATGAGGTTGATTTCAGATTAAACCTCTAATGGGCTGTCTTTGACTTGAACAAATTTTCTCGAGGTGAAACAATCCAAGGTAAACTGGATACAAAGTTGTATTCCTTCTACGTTTATCTTGACCATCAAAACTATTACTCGAAAATTATTGTAATGACCTGGCGTTTTTAGTGATTCCATCTCGACCCGTTCATAAGGTACTCATGGTGTACATGATCATCCCGCTTACTAACCCCGTTCTCTTAAGAAGGCGCTCGAAACAAACAACACAAGAAACACAATTAAGTTTCCGAGCTTTCTTAGTTTTCCCATGAGCACCAGAAATGAAACACTACTAAATCAAACAAGAATTAGCAATTGCCATAATGAACATGAAGCAATAGACAAGTCATATGATAATTATGAAGGCAAGGAGATAACTTGGAAGCAATAGAAACTTTACCACTTCATATTCTCCTTGAAGACAACAATGATGGTGCAAAGTTGATATACGTGCATGTAGCATACTTATGATAGTACTCTTTCTCATAAATCTTCTGAAGCTGCACCGTCTTGACATCCATTGACAAATGTCCAACAAGTGGATTCAGAGATGAGGCTTCTATCCTTGCCAAGAGCAAGTACCTCTGCGTTGCATCTCTGATAAAATATCTGTACCCAGAATCTAGTGGGATTGTCTTCTCCATCTGCCACTGGCTGGGACTCTTGCCTTTGTTCCGTGCAATTGTATAGCTGAGATCGGATGCAGTTTCACTATGGAAACCAAATATCCCAAGCTTGCCTTCCCCTGCCTCCACAATGGCTAAACCTTCCTTGTTCCATTCTCCTGGTGGGAGGTCAGTAATGGAGAAATCCATCTTGCTGGTGTCAAGCAAGAGCAACTTTTTCCACCCAAATTCCATCCAGTCCCAGTAGAAGCAGCCATAAGCATAATGGTGCTTGAGAATAAAAGGGCTGACCGCTGACAACACAGCCAAATCGCCTCTGCCACTGACCAAATCACTCAAATCCATTGATGCAGCTAGCGGCTTGCCATTGATCGGTGCCTGAAGAGAAGACGAAGGCAGACAGACTAGTTTTGCAATGTGCCATCAAGATCACCGTGAATGTCGTCTGTCCCGCCGCTGCCTCCTCCTCACCGAGGGGAACGAGGAAGGGTTTGCACAGGGCCCTGCGAACCATGGGGACCCGGTGCTCCACCGAAGCTGCTAGGTCGTCTGGTAGTGGGGGAAGCAGGACGTACCGCTGGTGCAAGGGGTCGCAGACCGCGAGATCTCTGAATACCACATCTTTTCTTTTTTGTGCCGTATTCAACCACTGTATGATGCCTTGCCAGACTCCTCCAATGCTTTCGTAACTGATGATCCCTTAATAATCAATAAAAGCAGGGCTGCTGCCTTTGGTAATACACAAGTTGAAAAAAAAGACGCGACTTGTATGTTACTTTACAGAGGGAGTACATGATTACATTGATTCACTGATTGAGTCGAAATGACTTGAAAAAAAAAGTCCTTGTTTTCCCACAGTTGTTGACTGACTGAAAGTGCAAATTTCGTTGTCTCTGGCTCCTTCTGTTTTGCTCCACGGTGAACATCTCTATAGGAGAAAAGAAAAGGAAGCTCAGACCCGGTTCCAAAGAATCTCCAGCTCACATCCACTGATCTAGGCTCTAGGCCACTCCCAAGCTCAAATGTCAAAGCAACACCACCAAAACGTATACACATAATCATTTTTGGGTCGACAAGAAATTGAAGTAGCATGAAAACAAGAACAGCATTGACATCTCACCACAGCCAAGTGAAATTCTCTGTAGATCATCACGCCATGCGCTTTCTTGTCAGAAAGGTGAT